AGCCACCTGATCCTGTGCTTTTCTGTAGGAGTCTCCTTTCTCTGAAGTAAAGATGAATCATACAATAGTCTTTTTCTTTTTAAAACAAGTCTCTCTTATCCAGCACTCAAACAGGACTGCCCAACTGCTAGACAGGAAGGACCTTTCAACTAGCACTCAGTCTAGACGTTTTTACAAGAAAAAAAGTATCTCTATTTATCCAGGCTATCTCTTGCTTTCTGCACAATCTGTATTTTTTCTGCAAAATTCTTCTGCCTTCCCTCTACCTTCCATTTTACATTTATTCAAACATAGTTTGAATTCCTGAATTGCTTTCACTGTGACTGTCTTGGGCAATGGTATTTCCTTTGATTTTTTTTGTAGACTCTCATTATTTCAGAATTGATTCTTTTTTTTTTTTTGTATAGTAACCTTAAGGAAAAGCTAATGTTTATATCCAATGGATTCAATTACCTTTCTATGCCACCACCCCTTTTTCAAATACTTTAACTTCACCTTGATTTCTTCAGAAGGTCTTAAGTTGTGGACCTCTAAACACATTTGAAACAGATAGAAAAGGTTCACACCATTTTGTGAAATAGCTCATAGCTACCAGCATATGCTAAATGCCAGCCACTATCACAAGGAAAAGCCTCAACAGAAAAATAGCAACAGCTTCTACTCGTTCTTCCAAGATTTACTGACATTTAAAGATTTTCCAACTTTTCTGGAAAGCAAACGTTACCATTCCTGCACCAATTTTATTCATCGTTTATGGTTTATACAAGATAAATTTCATTTAGCTTAGTTAAAGTTTTCACGATCCCCAAATGCCTATCTGTTTTAAAATAATGATGAAAGAGAAATAATGATTGAGAGATGAAGTTCTTAGGTATTTAGTACAAATGGCAGTTAATTCCCTTATTTGTGATAGTTTCTCTCTTCATAATTTTTTCATTTTTAAGTGCAAAGCTCTCACAGGTGTGATCAGAAAACTTTAATGTGGAAGCTGTGAGGGAATACTACATTCCAATTTGGCTCATTTTATCATTTCTTTTCTAAAAAATAATAAAAAAATTACTTGCTATCTAGATAACAGGGTCTTCCCTTTTGAAGAAGGGAACTCTGTTCTGGAACTCTGCTGCTAAGCACACCTCTACTGTTCCAGAGGATGACCAGGGAGGTTTGTATGTTTGCAAATTATTGGAAGAACAGAAGCAGCCATCTGTTCCTTAGCATGTTCTTTCCCTTAAGCAACCAAGTCCTTGTTCTCATGCTCAGAGAAGAATTTGCAATTAGCCCCCAACAAGGCCATCTGGATAAGGCATTGGCATTATCTTGCTTATACCCCAGCTATGAAATTACAGCAGCACATTTTTTCTAACCACCTGGCTAGCTATCCCCCTCAGGATTCCTGAACTGGAAAAGACACTGCAGAGCAGAATAATACCTTTTCCTACTGTTATTTTTCCTCCACGTTAATAGAAAATTTTTATAACTCCTTTGGGAATTGTACTATAATTTATTATGGTTTTTCATTATAATAAGCCACAACCCTCTCAAATTCACTGTCCATGTAATACGTACGGTAGTTTTACAATATTGATGAAACCAGAAATGAGCCTGTTGTGTTAGGATAGGAGTATATGAGTGGATACATCACGTATCTTTAGGCTCAGTTTAGGTATCAGCCTTCATCTTAGAACTGTGGACATATCAATTCTTATTTAAGATTTTAAGATTTTCCCTAATGTTTTTGTATTTATATGGATGACATTTTACTGTTATTTGAAGACTTGTTTTTTCCTTTTTGATACATTTCCTCATTGTCCAGTGACACATTTTCCTACTTTTACTATTACAATTGAATTATGAAATGGATTTTGGGGGTTCCTTTCCCAAGGTATATCATGCATTTATACCATTCAACTGTAGTCTTGCATTGGTGTAATATAGCCTGCATCTTTGTTGGAAATGATTCCTGATTGACTTATTTGCACTTTAACTAAAATAAATTCTATTTAGTGTAGTTACATGGTGTAGGACTTTCAGATACTCTATTAATTCAACATTATAATACTACATTGAAGAAGAATTTTTTTAGGTGTCAGGTACAATAGTTTACTAATTCTTTCTTTACATCATGTTAGAGATCACCAAGTTTACAATAATTTAAAACTGTCAGTCCTCCTGTACACACTCATTACATTTCACAATTTATGGAAGGGTTTTAACACTCTGGTTTCATCCTTGCCTTACAGACTCTAACTGAGTATTTGGTAGCAGAGGAACAGTATTATGATTTGCTACAAAATATAGTAATAAACGCAAACCTCTTAAAATGCAGTATCCTGTTGGCATGAATGTTCTGAGAGTTGGCCAAAAACTTATATTAGCTCTAAAATATTTCTTCCAGACAATTAGTAAGAAAAGCATTTCAAGGGAGCTAAAAACTTCTTGCGTGGTTTTATATCAGCTACAAATTCAGCGAAGGAAAGACAAGCATGATTATTTGAAAACAGACGTGTGATGTTTTAGGAGATTATCTGTTGTGTCAGGATTTGCATTATGAAAATGAAAAATAAACTCTCAAACAGATTTTTAAAGCCACATTTTTACACCTATAAATCTGTCTGTATATAAAGTAGGCTCAAGTGTCAGATGACCCCACCTTTACGAAGGAAGAAGTAAACAAAACCCCTGAAATATAGGAACTGTATAACTTTGCTTATATTTCAGTATGCCTTAAGAGGCTTGTGAGTTAGATTTCAGCTACATTTTGCTGCCGTGGCACTGCTAGCCATCATGGTGTACTCCTGGGGCTTTCAAAATGACTAGAAACAGCCAAAGGTCCATGGGTTTAATCTATAAACACAGGATTACTCACTGAAATAACTAAATCAATGCCTTCACGGAACTCTCAGAACAGAGGATGTGATTCTGACCAGATCAATCCATAGCAAATGAAAAGGAAAAATAACTCAAAGGGAGGAAAGTATAACAGGTAATTTGAAAAGCTTAGGTGATACAGTCTGCTCGAATGTCAGCAACTATGCACTTTTAAGGGGCAATTTTTTCAGGATACCATTTTAGTGTAACACTAATGATCAACACTGTTGCATATTTCTTTTACAAACAAAATACTTTTGACCATTCTAAAACTATTAGGCTTGAGCTGATTCCAGGATTTCTTCAAGAAATTATGCTGCTTTGAAAAAAATGTAAGTTCTATATAAATTGATTCATTGTACATTTTGGAAGTACTGGGAAACCAGGTATCAGTAATCTCCAGGAGTTTTACTGGACATTTTAAATATTATTTTTCTCTTATTTAAATAAAAAAATCAAATCAGCTGTTCTTACTTTCAGATGGTTAGATATGCCCCTATATACAAAGTTTACAAACAGAAAGTGGCACTTCTTCTGATGACTCCTCTGAAGTCACTAAATTAATGATCTGCACATATTATTAAACTATCCACTGTTTACAGTGATTCAAAGTGAGATCAAAGACAACAGACTGGGAGGATTTGGAACTATATTCTGGTATATCATTAATTTTGAGTTAAAAAAGAAATAGACTCCACAAATATATGAAACAGCAACCTGAACAGTTTTTGTGCAGCTTTTGTAAAGATCAGTTTAATCATCTGACTATATACATCTCTTTATAGAAACTTAAAGAATAATCATCTGACAATATCCATCTCTTTATGGAAACTTTATTTAAAATTTCCATAGGTTTTTAGCTTGTTTATTGTTTTTAAGTTAAGGTTATAATCTATATTGCTGTATATGAAAAGCTTTCTTCATATGATGAACCATGCTTATCAATATTCTATAAATATGAATAGGACGACTTGGTTAAAAGAGGTGTTTTCCTTTAAATAGAAAATATGAGTTCATACCTTAAAAATTTTTCATGTTAGACAAATAGCTGACTAAAGTTAGTCAGATAATGATAATGCTGATGTGCAAATGAAAACTAACAGAAATAAAGATCCAAGTTGTAACACGCTGGAAAATATTGACCTTTAGCAAAAAGATTAAGATATTTTCTGTATCTACTTTTGCCAAGATTTGAGAGATATTTATTTTAATAATCTAGAATATTTTCTGTTCAAAAGATTACATCTGTTTACACCTATTTCTAGGTGTAAATCGACCAATGAACTCAAAACCCTCCAAGAGCACTTGGTACCATGGACAGCTCCAGCTGCATCGTGAGCAAGTGCTTCACAGTAGCAACGTGCGAGGAAAATTCAAGATGGCCGTTGATTCCTAACGGACCTTTCTGCTTTCAGTTTACAGCAGCATTGGATTGTTTCCAAATATGTACTTGTACTGCTCATCCTAAATTGTTCATAAATGGAGTTTGTCTACTCAGGGCAGCAGACAGAAAGATGTTAAACATGTCTGGCTAAACTCTGCTTTCACCTATAAATACACAAGTTGTCCCACCATACTAGAATGTGGTTCTTGGGTATTCCTTCAGTCTTACCATTATACAATGGGGAGAAGGCAAACAAAGAGTTCTGAGTATGTATGATGCCCTAAACTACACATTTAATGATGCAATGTTGCAATAGTGCTGTAGTAGTTTCATCTTTTTTAAAGACTTTAAAAGTAGAATGTTTATGTAGTGTGAAATGCTTAGAAGTTACTTATCCCTTTTACTTAAAGAATTGTTTATAGTGGTAACCTGAGTTTGAACACAATAATGTTTTCCCAAGTCAAATCTGTTGCTTCAGAATCTTCAGTTTTAGACTTTCCTCCATAGTTGTCAAATATTTTAAAAAATATAAAAGGAAGAGGTAGTCTGTGGTGAAATGTATTGTAGCAAAATAAGTGAATTAAATTCCCTGAAATTTCATGGTCAGGTAAGATGGACAATCACCAAATAAAACAAAGGTTGTTTCTAAAAGCAGATTTTGCTCATTGATAGACATAATAATGTATTTCGTGTGCTTTCCACAGTTATGCTAAAACACTATTGTTGACACTGTTGTTTCCTCTCCTAGAGTCGAATGGCAGAAAGTTTGCGTCTTTTTGATTCCATCTGCAACAACAATTGGTTTATCAACACTTCCCTCATCCTTTTTTTGAATAAGAAAGATCTGCTGGCAGAAAAAATTCGACGCATCCCCTTAACAGTCTGCTTTCCTGAATACAAAGGCCAAAACACTTATGAGGAGGCAGCAGTCTACATCCAACGCCAGTTTGAGGACTTGAATCGCAACAAAGAGACCAAGGAGATCTACTCACACTTCACCTGCGCCACTGATACCAGTAACATCCAATTTGTCTTTGATGCAGTGACAGATGTTATCATTCAGAACAATCTCAAATATATTGGCCTCTGCTAAGTATCCTTGGGCTTAATCTGTTTTCCTGAAGTGATAAAAAAGGGGCTAACCACTACCGCTTCTAGTGGAAAAAAAAAATGGCTCAATGCTTAGTAGCCCAAGGAGAGAAAAGGGGAAACCTGATGTATGTGCACAGTTCCTCCTATGCCCCTTAACTCGCTACATCATTTTTCACAAATACATGTTCTGGAGAGTGAAAGCCTCCTCTCCAAAAACACATACACACATCCCCAGTGGAAAAAAAAACCCCAACAATTCAACCCTCCCCCCCTCCCCCCCAAAAAAGAGAGATTGAGGCCTAACTCTGTGGAGATGTTTTCACCACAGTCACTGCACTTTTATTCCATTTGTTTCATTCCATTTCCTACAGTGGGAGTGTTATCATGTTCTATGTAAGAAATAATTCTTCATCCAGTTGTCCTAAAATTTTACTGACGTGAAGATACAAAGCTGGTGAGTGACAGATGAACTTGTTTGCAGGGTGTGGAGCAGAATGGTTGTGTTAGGGAGAAAAGTTAGTTCAAACCAGAAGCTACAAAACAGGAGAGTTTAAGCAAAATACTACTTAAAGTTGTAGAGAATGGGCATGCACCCACAATATTGGTACACACAGCCAAACAGTATATACACATACATCATGTATGCACATGCACATGACTCACAGCATATACTATGTACACACTTCTGCTTTACTGTACTGTTTATCATGGACACCTTGCCTGTTAAAGGAATTGTTGGTGCGCAACTGTTCTGTGATTTCCAAAGTGACTAGCAGCTCTTTCTGCTCTTTAAGGCTTCAAATATGCAGCAAAACTACATGAAATTAATCTATGAATAGGCCAAATTAAGGTCAGTGTTTCTTCTACTGGTAAGGAGTTTTATACATCAAAACAGTCTTCTTTTACATCTTTTTTTGCCAAATCTTGTGGTGTTTCACAAAAAACAAACTATATTTACGAAGTAGGTTAGTGTTCTTTTTTTAATACGGATTAAAAAATTAATCACAAGGTAATTTTTTAAATTATTGTTGTAGTGTCTGGATTGCTGAATGTGAAAGTTGCCAACGGACAATTCTGTTCCACTGCTCCAAATACATTCTGGGAATTGTAATATTGTAACAGATTTCCCAAGAAGCAGGAGCCATGGAGATTGTGAGCCTCCAGAAGCTTTGGAGGCAGGAGTCTCCAAAGTATTTTTTGTTGGTTTTTAAATTATTTTTTAAATGTGATGTATTATTAGAAGGTTAAAGATGAGCGATAAGAACAATAACTACATATATTGATATTTCAGTTTAATAATTTAAATTATTTGCAGTTTAGTGAAGTTAAGGAAACTGAAGAGGTGCATTCCTCAGCTCCAGGTTTCATCTCCTAAAGAAACACTACTGGATGGAATAACATTCCGGCAAAAGTTTGAATGCATAAGAAGCTCTGTGGGACTATACTGGAAAATCTCAAACGGATCACATAGACCTGTCTTTGGTCAGTTGATTCTTTCCCCTGCCATAGAAAAGACTTCTTAAAGACTTCAGTGTAAAGTTTGTGTGTAAATATATGTTTGATAATTGTAAAGCACATACGTACACAGACACACATGCACACTGGAAAATAACCTTCTACTTTTGTTCCCCCTATGTACTATGATTAGTGCAAGAAATCTCAGCCAAGGGCTCTAAGAAATTTAAAACAAAATGGTTAATAACATCAACATTTAAATTGTCCACCTAAAAAAATAAATAATTCAAATTATCCTGAACGTGTCTATAGTGTGTTCATTACTTAGTGTTATGACAGTTACTTAACTGGATAATGTTTATGAAGTTTTCTTTCCTTTATAACAGACTGCTGAGTTTTGTTTATTTGCTCCAGATCTTCTTCCTCAGTTTGTTCACCAACATTCAGCAATTTCAATCTTACACAGTTACATTTGAGCAACTCAGTAAGATTTGAGGTTCCCATTAAGGTTCCCGTTTAATATCTTTACAAAATCTGAATGTTATTGTTATATTTTTGGGGGAGGTGGTTAGTAGCAATTTTAGGAAAGAACTTATAGATCAAGAGCTATTGGTAATATCAGGAAATAAAATTCCATGGTATCTGCAAGATACATAAGAAGCCTCCCTGCATACTGTCTTACACAAGCAGGTACTTTGCACGGAGGTCTATGATTAGAAATACATGTCTAAGTATAAGCACACATATAAATTTTTGAATAGTGCCTGAAGTTGGTCTCCTAAACCTGTATTTAAAGATTGGGAAAAAAAAACCCTTGAAAAATGTGTTCACATTTTTGTACTACTGAGTTCTCAGCAAGTCTCCAAAATCAATATGAAATTCTGTCTGGCTCATGTTGGTGAAAAATTAGGCTTTAAGAAAAATCTAAATTTTTTTTTAAGTGACAATGTAAGGTGATCTATCTTATTGATGGTTCTTCATTGATGTTTTCTTGAAAATTCCACCCATTCAGACTATAACAAGGTTCTTCCAGAACATCCTACAACTTAAATCTTTAAAAGTCTGGATGTACATTAAAAAAAGGTGCAACTCCTGTACAAACAGCATAAACTCATAAAAATCACTTATTGGAGGATGCTAGAGAAATAATATCACTGGTGTTTAAACAGAATTTGACTTAGAACCCTCTGCTGAAAATAATTGATAGTGCTTGGATAGCTTAATTCCTTTGTTTGCTTCTTGGCATTTCTACAAAATGCATCAAAAAGTCCTAATCTTTCTTACCTTATGTTTTAGAATCCTTCTTTTGACATGTTTAAGGATATCTAATTTCAAGCAAGGATTTTTCTATGTGACCTGGAGACTTAAGCTAATGATGAGCTGGGACTGCCAAGAGAACTACAATACTCTTGAAGGCAGTAATTCAAGCAATAATAATTTTCAACCTTGCTAGAGAAAGCAATCATAAACAAAAATATTCTCTGAGGCTCAAGTCATGGCTTAAGAATTTCAAAACTCTTCAGTCCAGACATAATCAATAATGGAGAAAAATGTGATTGATTTTGAATGAGGTATTTTATTCCTGTGCTGAAGACAGAGGGCCCCTTTAAGAATACCCCATCAATTGTTACACCTGAAAGACAGTGGCAAAAGAGCCAATGAGGCTGTGCCTTAAATGTATAAAAGGTTTGTCATGCCACACAGGGAGCATTTAGGTCTTACTTCTAATGAGGAGGTACTACTGCCTGCTTGTAATATTTGCAGTCAAGCTGCTTGACTTGGTGAGTACTAAAAGCTATCTACAGTAATTGCTAGTACAATGCATAGAGCTAGTACAGGATTCTCTAAACTTTGTTTACCATTAGAGTGCTATCATTTACTTAAGAAACTGCACAATATTTCTACTCTAAATTACAATGCATAGAGCTAGTACAGGATTCTCTAAACTTTGTTTACCATTAGAGTGCTATCATTTACTTAAACTGCACAATATTTCTGCTCTAAATTGTTTTCCATAGCATATTATCCTATTATTAGTGAGTTGAACTATTAAAAAGGTATGAGCCAGGGCTTCCTTTTCCAATGAATGGACTATTAGATGGTGTGCCTCCTTCACCTGTAACTTTCATGGTACTGTGGCCATTTCAGACTAGTGAAAGAAGTGACAAGAAAACACTAGCATTCTTTAGATCATAGCTTCAAGGTAAGAAAGCTGGGTAGAAAAAAATGAAAACAAAGGTGTAGTTAATTATGAGGAGGGTAAGAGGCATTTTATATTAAGAAATAAATCTTTATTCAACTAAGAAGGTCCTTCCAACTTAAGTATTAGAGGCAACCTACAATAGAAGTGGAGAACCTAGGATATTTTAACAAAGGCCTAAGGGTATTTCTAAAGAAAAGGAGTCAGTTACATTTCTCATTGAATGAAGGCTATCCTGGGAAGGAGAAAAGAAATTGAATCAATTCATGTAATCGTGTTCTCTTGCTATTAATCCCTAATCATTTAATTCCTACGATGTTTTTGATCTTAATATTCTGAGTAACTCATGATTACTTTGTTTTCTGTCTAAAGAACTCAAGATTTTAAAATAAATTCTGTTTTACATAGAAGTAAAATAATTCTATTTTCTGATTGTATAAGAAAACCAAGGCACAGGGAAGTTAGAACTAAAAAGTCTGGGCCAAAGACAGGTGCTGAAATGAAACCCCTGGACTCTTAGTTGTCCACCTGGATAAATCATGCAATTAAATTTGCATCTATTTTCTCAGTTCTCAGGTTTATCAGTAATGCAGTGCACTGCCACCTGAAAGAACTGCATTAATACAGCTGGGTTTTCACTTCACCTGGGCAACAATGACATTCACAGAAGAGATGTTCCATCTGCTGCAATAAGAATGCCATCTGTCCTTTTATCATTTGCACTCCATGCAGCAAAACAAGTTTCAAAGGGATAAAGGTATCCTTAAACTGTCCTTATCCACAGATCCGATTCGTTATGATTTGCTGAGGGTCAGTAAAGTAGGAGAAATATTATCTCTTGGACTCTTCCCAAACAGACATTCTGGCAAACCTAAAAATCCATTGCCCCATCCAATACACCTCAATTTTTGTCTAAGAGGATTAAGTACGCATATATGGATATATATACACTTTTCCAGTATTAACCATACCCTATTGAAAGTTTTTTTTCCTAGAACTATTTTTGCAGTTATTGCCCAGGTCATTTATCACTGCATAACACCCTTTCACTAACGTTGTTAAGTATTGTGTGTCGACTAATTGTTTTCATAAAGTTTTGCTATTAATTATGATGTTCTTATTTTTCCCCTGCTGCTGGTTCTTCTCCCTCTTCTATCCTCCACTGAATGGATATATCTATCTTATTTTTGTCTTCTGACCATTCATTTGTGCCACTAAGTTGTTAATTCTTCTGTAAACGTTACTTCTCAGTGTTCTTCCAATCTTTGTTGGTTTTCCCACCTTTTGGTTTTTAACAATCACACTGGTATACATCCTTAAATTTAGGAATAAAGAATAGTCTGCAAGTGTATTTGCTTAAAATAACCACATTTTCCTAAATAACTTCTGTTTGGAGAAAGACTAGGTGACCTGGCACAGAGCTAACTGGAGTTACTGACCATTTTCCCATGAACAAAACCAGCTACGCTTCATGCCAAATGCATGTACAGCTTATGTTCCTTCTGTCTAGTGTGGAACATATTGCTTTATTGGCCCTGTAAATTATCTCTACTGTAGAAAACATCAAAATTCTAGCTGGGGAATGGTACATTAGTTGCTGACCTCCTCCAGCTGATACAAGGTACACCCTGTCTCATGATGTGGATGTGAGGTGTAGAAATAAATGCAAACAGGAAAAAAGTTTCTTGTAAGTAGCCATCTGCATGTAAGCCTGTTCTAAAGTAACAAAATTCTGCTCAAGGAGTTATCTTCCAGCCCTTAAATACAGGCATGTACATTTTTATATGTTATATTTTTACTCTAAATACAAAGAATATATGGCTCAGAACACTACCTTTTCCCAAGGGTAATAACACAGAGAGAGATGCTTTCATGCAATGGAAACAAAATTATTCAAACCAGACATAAATATCAGGTTTCTAATAAAGTAATTCTCCTTACATTTAAAAGGAAATTGCAATTATTTAAATGCCTTATTTTCATACTACTAATTACCCTTTTCTGCTTTTTTGGAGACAAACCTCCAGAATAATTCCCCAAAACAAGTCTCAATGTCAAAGATAATTTTATTTGGAAAACCTGATTCTTATCTGCCACCAGTACCTGAAGTGGGAGAGGTAAAATGAAGAAATAGGTATCAGTCTTAGCTCAAGAGAAGACTCACTGAAAAGCAACTACCTTCTTGTAAATATAGGCAACTTTCACTAAATTGGGACTGTAACATAATTTGGAAACTGGTCTCTGTCTGGCAGAGGCTCCTGCTCACTTCAGGGCTTCTGTGAATTCTTTGCCTTCAAAGGCAAGGTTTTGAGAAGAGGCATTGCTGCAGCTGGCAGCCAGCTTTGGCTGAGTTCTCAGCTCAGCACGTTTTCCACTCAGGAGGCAACTCCTTGTGTACTATCATCTCATATTTCCTGGTTATCACCAAACTGGTTTTACAGTTGTGACCATTTCCCTCAGTGGCTCCTGACCTAAGATGATACATGTAGACTCTTGCAGGGACAAAATGGTCCACCAGGCAGTATGGTGTACCATTACAGATCCTCTGGTTTGGGCACTGTATTTTGATTTATGTGGAATTCTTAATCAGCAACATTTTATTGGTGGTTTGGGCACCACCAAGAGCTAATGTTACTTACTGCTATACTAAGTCTCTAAATATAAATGACAGCTGAAACAGTAGAAATGACAAAATGCTTTCTACATAACCCTTCATTTTAGTCCCTGCTTTTTAGAAAGTGTCTAACTGTCAACAATTAAAAAAAAAGCCCTCAGTTTCTCTCAGGGCCACATGGATAGCTTTTTTTTTTCAATTGTTCTTTTTTTCCCCTTAGATCTTATATTCATCCTCCAGTGAATGTTTTCTGCTTAGGTAGCTAAACTTCCAAACTACTTAGTAAATGCTCTGAGTTTTGGCAGATACCACCTAAAACCAGGCAGGTGTTTACATGTAACATTAGTTCTAATTTACATCTGTAAGTCTCAAATTCATATCTAAAATGGTATGTACAGCAGCCACCAAACTCTGAGGCGGTTTCCATCTTTAAACTGAAACCCTTCCAGTCCACTTAAGTTGTGCATCATGCACACATTTGAAAATTCCATCAGCAAAAGGAGGTAAGTGGTAAGCTCTCCTGCTAGAGATAATAACGAAGTTTAGTACAGCAGCGGCTGAACAGCAAGGCTTATTACTGAATTATGCAGTTCCAAAAGGGCTAAGAAGAAGGCCTTAGCCAGTGTGGATGTAATAGTAATATGCAAAAATTTGGCAACATTTATTTATTTCTGTTAAGCTTTTCTTCTCGCTTAAGTTTCTATTACCCACATATTCACAGGATGGTATCTCTCTGTCTACACAGGTAAAGGACAGAACTCTTTAACGGCAGTCAGACAGGTCAAAATTTACCTAAGCCAAGTCCCTGCCTCATCTGATTTGCAAATCTGTAAAATGGCTAGTGACATTAAATTGACAGAAAATTTCTTTTTCTATAGTGATGCTCACAGAGTTGTTTAGCCCACTGTATTAATATCCTTCATATGACTTCAGTTATTTAGGACTTCAAAAAGGGTTGCATGCATGTAAAAATACATCTTTATCTTTTTAGAATTCATGTACACTCACTCAGCAAGGCTTCGAGCATTCATTTAGTTCTTCTTTAAGCACCAGTAGTGTAACAGAATTCCTCAGACAAGATACTTTCCCATGAATGTAGACAGTATGGGTTTTTAATTGGTAATTTCTATCTACTAAAATTTTAATTTTACAATTATAATTTTCACAACTAGAAAAATATAGAAATTATAATCACTGAATCTGTAAATAAAAGGAACAAATCAGCATAAATTCCCTTAGTGTATAAAACATTTAGAAAACTATAAATGTACATAATAAATATAAGAGAAGCATGTAAGAGGTACTACAACCTATTCTTCTGGCAAGTCAAAGACAAATTCTCAGCTTGGATTCCTCTATTTAGACTGAAGGATTTAAAAGCTGTATACCTGGCTGATGTAGTCAACCCAGCTTCTGTTTATCTCACACAGAGAATCAGGTAAATTCACCTGTCTGCTTTGCCTATTTGAATATTTAACTACTGAAAAAATCCCTACCTTGAGGTAATTTTGCCATAATGTTTAAAATCTGATGCGTGTTCTTCCGACAGATATCTATTGGATCATCCAAGAGTTCAGTGAGGGTAGAAATTATTCCGTTTTGTATCAACCCTTGCCTACAAACAACATTAGAAGACAGACTTAACTAATAATAAAACTCATATATATTGGCAAGATGCTTAATATTAACTAATTACTCTTACTTACATTGCACCTATCTTGCCCAAACTTAGAAATTCTGTTATTTCTCCCTGAAACGTCTTTATTGCTTCCCATACTCTTCAGTAAACACTGGATTTCCCCCTTACCTGCCAAAGTTATCCATAGCCATTATATAGAGGATTTCTGTTGTTTTTTGTCGGACAGTACTGTCATGATGAGGAAGCAAAGTCTTCAGGCTACCCAACAATCCTATGAGACACAATAGTTCATTTTAACATTTCCTACCTTCAGCATTAATTTAAAATAGCAATACTAATTTTTATCTCACAAAATGAAGTGCAAACAATCATAATTTTCATCTTGTCATGACAGTGAACCTCTCATTGTCATATCTCAAGTAGGGAAGAAATTTTCAGGTTTCAAGGTGTACTGCTAAAAATGCCATGCTATAAACAAGCTGCTGACTTCTGTATCAAGGTAAATCCTAACCTTGCAGATATTTATGAAGTGACATAGCTCTCAGATTAACTCAAGTCAGTGGAGCTATTGATGTTTTTAGAAAACCATGTGTTTGCAGGATTGATGCCTACATTTTTTTAAACTTTCTTTGGGTGTAGCATGGGCTATGTAAAAACACACAGCATTGCTTTTTACATGTAGAAATAAACTTAGTGAACCATTAATGATTATGTGTATACACACATAGGATTGACAAAAAAAGACCTCAAACAACAATCTTGCATTGCTTCAGCAATGTTACTGTTAATCAAACAATAACTTCACAAATTTTGAACACAATTATTGGTATTTCTTGTGAGGAAGAAAATAGGAAGGAATTAAATGGAGGAAAAAAAGCAGCGGCAAATCAGAGGACTTCTTCAGTGTTACATAATGAGCTATGTAGATACAAAACATCCACTGCTGAAGGAATCAATGGCAGAAGATGACGTCACAGATGTTGATAATGAACTTGTAAACCTTATTTAAGTATTATTTATTATTAATTAAAAGGTTCATCATAGTTCTTTGACAGTTATTATATCTGAGATATGAGTATTCTGAGGACCTCAAGCATGAAAAATCGAGGAAGGTACCAGTGTCTATGTTGTACATAATAGCAAATGCCTAATGAAGGGGGGAAAAAAAGACAGATTTTGCCTTTTTTTCCTGCTCTAGCATAGCTAAAAGCTTTTTCTTTTCCCCTTTCTAAATAAAATATATTTAGTAGTTTTATGTTATAGCTAAAAGCTTTTTCTTTTCCCCTTTGTAAATAAAATACATTTAGTAGTTTTATGGTATTAGAAATTCATAAATTCACTGTTTTTCTGAAATGTTTGTGGATAACAGAATTAGAAAAGATTCCAGGCAAATAACTAAGTGGCAAGGGTATGGTGAGGGGCTGTGTTTCTAACTTTGGACTAATTAAGCTTTTTAAAAATTTATTAGCCTATATTAGGAATTAGCTGAAATTCAGAATAAACAAAAGAGAAAAAAAGATTCTGCATTGCTTTTGCATTTAGGGGTTGATAAAACCTATAGTGAACCATTGATAGACCCTAAAGTGGGGATACTCAAGCTATCATGTATACGGCATTATAATATTCTTTACCTTTTTAAGGTAAAACAAGTAGAGAATAAAACTAAGAAATCTTCGAGGCCATTTTGTGTCATCAAAGATACTGCAAGGAAAAAAAGTAGCGTACAAAAGTAAAATGGTTTCCCCCCACACACACACTGTGTCAAAGCTTATGACAATAGATCACTCACCTACTTCTATTGCCTGGTAGACCTTTTCTGGGTCATGGACCAGATCGCAGAGCACCATCAATGCCCGCTGCTGAGTCAGCAGCTCAGGAGACTGTAACTCTTCATTCAGTTTAGGAAGAGCTCTCCTTCCAAATGCAATAGGAGCTTTTGTGGGATCTATATCAGGGGGCAGGTAGGCTGAGATACGAGTATGTGCCATCCAAAATTTTCCTGGGAAGGATTCCCCCTTATCCCTACAAATACTGCAAAATGACTACACCTTATGACAGGACAGATTGTGTACCAAAAAGACAACTACTGACTTTAATCAATGCCCTGTGTCCCAGCAGAGCTATTTTAGCACACATACATCGCTGAGAAGCTATGAGAGAAGAGGTTGGAATGGTTGATGTCATCAGCATTAATGTCTGTTCATCAGCTGAATTGTGTGATCTGGTTTAATTCTCTGCTGAGCACTGTAAAATAAAAAAGCAAAACAGAGAGAGCGAGAAGGCTTAGAAGTGCGAGGTGAGGAAGGGAATGTTCTTCAAAAGATGCAAAACATCAAACCACTTCACTTCAAAAGTGAAGCAGTCCCGCGTACTGAATCAGATAAAGGGTTCAAAATAATATTAAAGCAAAAGCAAACAAAAAGCCATTTTTTTTAAAAAAGCATTCCTTTAAAATGGGTCTAGTTTAAACCCGCCCTCAGAATTCGTTAATGTTGGAAAGACTCAGCGACGGCTGACCTCCCCCTTCCCTCAGCAAGGAAAACGGCGCCGCTGACGGAAACGTACAACCTCCAATATTTCAAACTGCTCAACAACAACAATAAAAAAACAGCTGCAAAGTTAACTACTAAACAACTCAATTTCTCTCTTCAGAACAAAAGAAGTAAATAACCAAAGGCGCCCCGTCCCACCACCATGTCGCCGCCTCAGCCCGTCCCCGGCTCCCTCTCCACAGCTCCCGCGAGCTACGCCACCGCCTTTCGCGCCCGCGTGCTCTGGGCGCCACAGCAACCGGCTCTTGGCGTACGCCCAGCTCCGTGAATAAAAACGACGCAGCCAAGTATACTGATTCCCGCTCTGCGTCAGCAACGTAAGCACCGCGTTTGACGGTGACTGCTGTGTG